TCTCACAAAAGATAAGACTTGAGTTGCACTAGTGATTTTTTCCTTGAAGATCTAGATGCATTATCTTTATGGTACGAAAAGTACAAATTTTACTGATCACAAAAGCCTCCAACACATTTTTGATCAGAAAGAACTTAATATGAGAAAAAGACGATGGGTAGAACTATTAAATGATTATGAATGTGAAATTTTCTATCACCCCGGCAAGGCCAATGTGGTAGCAAATGCCCTTAGTCAAAAAGAATACTCGGGTCACCGATTAAAATCTCTAACTATGAACATTCATTCCCACTTATCTACACAGATCAAGGAAGCTCAACGGCAAGCCTTGAAACCTGAGAACATGAAAGGTGAAGTTTTAAGCGGAATGGAAAAGTATTTGGAAATCAAGGATGATGGAGTACATTATTTCATGAATCGAATCTGGACACTGAAGCTTGGTGGCTATATAGATGTTGTCATGAACGAAGCTCATAAAACTAGATACTTCGTTCATCCGGGTTTAGACAAGATGTATCTGGACATAAAGAAACTCTATTGGTGGCCTAACATGAAAGCATAGATTGCTACCTATGTTGGAAAGTGTCTAACTTGTGCCAAAGTTAAGGTAGAATACTGAAAGCCCTCAGGTTTACTTCAATAGCTAGAAATACCTGAGTGAAAGTGGGAACGGATTACAATGGACTTCATAACCAAGTTACCAAAGACTGCGAGTGGTTATGACACCATTTGGGTTATTGTATATAGATTAACTAAATCTTCCCACTTCCTACCAATAAAAGAAACTAATAAAATAGAGAAGTTAACAAGGACGTACCTTAGAGAGATAGTACGATTGCATGGTGTGCCAATATCTATTATCTCTGACCGAGATAGTAGATTTACCTCCAGGTTTTGGCAATCATTGCAAAAATCCTTGGGAACCAATCTTGACATGAGTACAACATATCATCCTTAGATCGATGGGCAAAGCAAAAGAACTATACAAACAATGGAAGACATGTTAAGAGCCTATGTGATAGATTTTGGTAAAGCTTGGGACACCCATTTACCACTAGTTGAATTCTCCTACAATAATAGCTATCACACTAGTATCAAAGTTGCACCCTTCGAAGCTCTCTGTGGCCATAAGTGTAGATCCCCTCTGTGCTGGGCTGAAGTAGGCGATATGCAACTAGCCAAAAATCAAGTAACCAACAATACTCTAACTGGTCCCGAGATCATACGAGAAACCATAGAAAAGATTGTACAAATTCGGGAACGGTTGAAAGCTTCTCGTGATAGGCAGAAGAGTTATGCGGATAAGCGACAAAACCCTTGAAATTCCAGGTTGGTGATCGTGTTGTATTAAAGGTCTGACCCTAGAAAGGAATGATACATTTTGGCAAAATTGGAAAACTAAGTCCAAGGTACATCAGACTGTTCAAGATTCTTGATAGGATTGGTCCAGTTGCTTATAAACTCAAACTACCGCAGGAACTCAGTAACATTCATCCCACTTTTCACATCTCAAATCTCAAGAAGTGTCTGTCTGATGAGACTCTTGTAATTCCACTCAATGAAACTAAATTAAACGAGAGTCTACACTTCATAGAAGAACCAATGGAGGTCTTGGATAGGGATATAAAAAGAACAAAACAAAGTTGTATACCAATAGTGAACGTTCACTGGAATGCTAAGTGATGACCTGAATTCACTTGGGAACGGGAAGATCAGTTGAAACAGAAATATCCACATCTTTTTCCTAATCCATGAGTACCACTTTAGAAATAATTTCGAGACGAAATTCCATCTAACAGGGGGATAATGTCATAACTAGAGAAATTCTATAATTATTGGAGTCTAAACTCTACCCAGATACTTATAAATTCATAATGTAATAGTCTAGGTTAACTATTGTAATTTATGTTGAAATAATAAAAATAGAAATTTATGGAAATGAAAATTAAGGTAAAAAATGAAGTATTAAATAAACTCATTTGGGATGAACCAAGTGATAAATATTTTAACAAGGATTCCAAAAAGATACAGAAATCCCAAAATCGAGTTATAACAAAGAAGTTATGACTAATCAAAGATCCACGACAAATCTGGCAAAACACTGTAAGTGTAAAAATAAAGTTTATAAATAAAATATTTTTTCGCATTAACTATCTAAATGAAAGTCGTAGAATACATTAACCTGACAAAGTCTATAAAAAAACGCCCAAATCTAACTTCGTATGAAGAAGTTATGATTTTTCTAAGTTTCAGAATAGTAGTAGATAGCTACAAACTCGAAATAAAGATCGAGTGATTTTTAGCCGACACAACCGAAATGAGAATCGAAGGTCTCGTGAATAGTAGTACAACGGTAAAAAGACAGGCGAAAATGGATTTCGGACGAAGAAGTTATGAATTTTTAACGGATTTTCCTATCCTAATCTGTTAAAAATGATAATATTAAAAATAAAGTCAAAATTAGTTAACAAAGTCTAACCGAAAGTCGTAGAGTATAATTTTACCTACGTGTGCATATAATGAACGTCAAAAACAGAGTTCGTATGCGAAAGTTATGAATTTCGGAAGTTTTTGGCTCAAAAACCGAGAATTAATGGATAACCGGGAATGTTCGCATGAACAGTAACCGCCCAACACGCGTCGCCTTCTCATTCGACCGAAGTTGCGGTCCAGTGGCTATTCAATACCATTCGCAGGAAGATGCCACCAAGCTCGGACCCGTGTCATCTTGTCATTGGACCGAAGTCTCGACCACTCCTGATCCGACGAATCTCGCACCCGGTGGCGCCTTGCGAGCCAAGCCACGTGCCTCCGTTTCCTCGCTGCCACCTCGCCTGCTGACTCTTCCCTTCGGATTCGAACTTCGGCCTATAAAAGGCCTGCGAGATCTCTCGGTTCCAAGACTATTTTCACCCCAAATTTCACACACCTTCATATCTTTCACTCCCTCAACCTCGCCTACAACCCCCAAAGCGTCGGTATCGTATCTAAAACCCTAAGCAAGCCTAGAAGCCCCGAGATTCTCGAGAAAAAAAAAAAACCTTTTTCAGGTATCGGAAGGTTTTAAGGAAGACACAATATTATATTATTATGTTTGTAAATTATACTTTTTGGTGTCAAATATATAATCATTTGAACACAGATGTAAAACTATATTTTATGAATGTAATGAATGTTGTACTTTGATTACAATTGTGCATTGTTGTTCATACTACACATGACGTCCTCCGCCCCCAAACGTTTCCGCCATTCAGGTTTGGGGGTGTGACACAAACCCCAAGTAACTGAAATGTAAACGGTAAATTAAAGGATATAAATAATCTCATAATTATTTTATAAGAATTAAAGACTCACAACTCCACCTTTGGAATTAGAATCATGTATGGAGGATGGACTCATGAACTAAAATCATTTTATAAGATGTTGTCTAAACTTCTACACTCAGCAAACAAAAGTCTTTATTTTTTAAAGATGAAGACTTTCGTTTTAAAGTCTACTGAGTTCATAAAAAACTGATTTTTCAAACTTAAAAAAACTTTCAATAATTTTAGTGTTACAATACTAAAATTCAACCACCACAACAGAGTTTTTCAACACTAAAATTTAATTCATATAACACCATAACTAAGTTTTTTGAAAACAATCATTCTATATTTTCCATTAACTGTTCAAACAATTTGATCTCATAAACGAGCCATATATTCATGATCCCTTGCACTACCATGTGCTTGAACCTCATCATTATCATCATCATCAACGTGTACATTATTACTTCGAAGTGACACATTGGGTTGATTGTATTGACTAAATAACTCATCGTTGAAACACTCTTTTCATATAAAATTATTAAACACAAAAGATAAAATGAAAATGCTTCTTTGTGTAATCAACAAAAATAGAGCCATCTTCTTCAATATAAGGAATCATACTTTCAAGACATCAAAAACATGCTCAATGAAGTTTCGAAGTTTTGCATGTGCATGGTTAAATTTTTCTTTATTGTTCGATGAACGTTTGACGAAATTCCAAACCAATGCATCACATTACGATATGGAGCCATAAATTTTTAAATGTGTGCTTACACAGCAACACAAAGATAATATTTGCCTCTAAAGATAATCAAATAATTAATGTTAAAAAATTTTACAAATATTTAAAAAACCATAAGCATGCCTGATGGTGGAAAAGAGAATGTTTTATCTTGATCTACTAATGCTTATGATAATATTCTTGAATCATGTGTTATCCTTCAGCAATTGACAACAATAAATGTAAAAAACATGTTAAAATCACAAATTGTTAATACATTTGATAACAATCACCTTTTTGTTCCTCTAGATAAATGTTGTTTGCCAACAAGAACAATAACATGCATCAAAGTTCCACCAGGTACACCAATCACTCCTTTAGAAACCCTTTGTAGACTCTTATTATGTCCCATAATGTTTTGATCTAGATTAGAAATCGGTACTATCATATCTTGTGAAAAAATCAACATTGTATCCAACACTTCATAAGAAATATATAAACCGGTTGTTTTAAGTGTTGAAATCTACACTTAACGACTACATAACATTGATTGCAACCAACCATCATAAGAAAATATATATAGCGATCATTTTTCAACCGATACATGTTTGGATTCCTTTAACCAATATTTTACTCTAACATGTATGCAAAACCGAACAAAAGATTCACGAGACATGCATAGTAGTTCAATATACTGAGTCATTACCTTGCGATAACTCTAATGTGAATTGATGTCCAGACATTTTTGAGCTATCATTTCGCATGCGTTTGAAATTTCTACTCCAAAAAACACGAACATACAAGTACATAAGACTTACGAGCATTAATTTTTTAACCTAATTCATTATAAACATGTTGAAGCATGAACACTTGTTGGAACAAATGTTAAACAACATAAGAAAAAAAAACAATGGTTCCGGCATAAGAGAAAAACAATGTTTACAACATAGACAAAAAAGCATATAATGTTTCCAACATAAGCAAAAAAAAAAAAAAAAAAAATTCCAACTAAGCACATAATCCCTACTTAAATACTCCTAAACCCGTAGCAGTCATCTTAATCCATCCTTTTAAAACCTGAGGAATCGCTGGCAATGTCATCCATGCTTCTCTCATATTTATAGACACTCCGAAAATATAAAAAGCAGCTAAAAATAAAGGATCAAGAGGGTCTAACTCAACTAGCTTCAACCTATCATAACATTCCTCAACTGTTGGCCCATCCTTGCCTTTCACCAAATGACGTAGAGCTTTTTCCATATCTAGTGCCAAATCATCAAGATTGATAGAAGAATTTGAGGTTTTAGCCCTTTTACTTGGCCTATCAACTTTAGAAGAAGTATCGGGAGTTGGATCAAGGGAGACACTGAGAGGTGAATCAGCAGAAGCACAGGGAGGCCTATCAACCTTAGAAGAAGTATTAGGAGCTGCATCAGGTGCAACACAAAGAGGTGAATCAGCAGAAGGATCACTAGTCTCACAGAAAATGTCATCATCATCTTCTAGGTCATAATTAGGTTTGTATGCAATATCAAGTGTTTGGACACGATGAAAAGAAGAGGGTCCAAATAGGGTTACACAGAGGTCTGGATAAGGCAATGGGTGTGTTTTCAGTGATGCAGCCTTTGGATGCCCCTAAAACCCAGATTAATAAAAAAATTAAAATCTAATATACCAACATTATAGATAAACGTTAAAAATTTATATATAAACATACCTTCTTAAATTCTTCCCATTCTTCGGTGGTTAAAGTAAAAGTGTTTGTTTGAGGGTTGTATATATTTCCAGTTTTGTTTCTCAAATATACCCATCCTCTGTATTTGGCTTTAAGGTTATCATATGCATTTTTCATTTGCTTGTGTGTCAAGTCCATGCCATACTTTTCTTTAAGAACGCTCCTTAATTTATTCCACGAATCTTTATGCAAGCTTAAACCTTTTCTACCAACTTTGTTCACTTCTTCAATGCATGTTTCTAATAAGCATTTTAGCTGTTGATTTGACCAATGTTGTTTCCCACCCATTTAAACAAACTACATAGCATTTTCAGGGAAAAAAAAAAAAAAAAAAAAAAAAGGTTTCAAGTGAACAACATAGAACCACATCAGAAACATCATAAACAAAAATAAAAAATTCAGAAAGTCTCGGCTAATTTCAGCAGCATCAGCAAAAATAATTAAGCTAACTTCAGAAACATGTATAGATGTCATGTTATTGTGTCTTTTCTCATAAGGATATACTTTTGATTACTGTTAATAGATGAATCCAAAAGCAACACATCAATTTGGTACTACCATAAAGCATTTGAAACATAAAAGTTTAAAGTGAAGCCATTATTATCCTTGGCTTTTGTTTTATAAACATACCATTGTTATTGTAGAAATAAGAAAAACTGAACTTGACAGAAGCCACAAAGTAAGTGTTTGATAAGATAAGGACTCCTACTTTATATAATGTCTAGACATACGGATACAATAAATACATATCATGTCTCAATAAGTATCCACCACCAATAAAAATCAATATTATTTATGCAAAGCCTAAAGAGTTGACTATGATTTTCAAGAAGTCTAAGATTGAGAAGCCACATATATGAAGGGCAGACTAGACCTTTAATTGGAAAAGCTATACATGATAAGATCCATAGCATACCAGTAATTTATACTCAAGACTATATTGTTTTAGCTGAAACTTCACAAATTATTTGTCAAAAGTACCCCCATTTTCAGGGATGTCTCTGAAACATTTGTTGAGATCACAACATACCTTTTCGCTTTGGGGGGAGGAAAAACATCAAGTCCTAAAAACAAAAACCCACAAGTAATCATATAGATTCGACAGGTGTTCACAAACCCATAGTATATTTACAACTACAAACAATAAAAAGGGAAAAAGAAAAGAAAAGAAGTGAAGGTAACTGACATGATCTGCACAACTATGACATGGATACATAGTAACATAGGCAAAAAACTCATTCCTCAAATGAAATATAACCAATAAAGAGGGTTTTATAATGATATACATAACTAAAAAAGACTTAATTAGAGTGCCATAAACCAAAAACCTTGTACTTATACTTCTTCTACCTTCGAAAATCTACCTAAAGAGCTTAGTTTTATTACATCTATCTTAAAAGTAGAAGCAATGTTTAGACTTTCAATTTCAAACCTAATTATTGCACTAACCCAAATGACTACACCAGTCCCTATTCATTACCATATTGAACATGCAGATAGTGAGATAGTATTAGAATTCAAGAAAAGAAACCCCCTAGGTTTGTTATTCTAGGAAGCGGTTTTCTTAAATAGGTACCAATAGATACCCAAATGACTACACCAGCCCCTATCCACAGCCGGTATCCTTCCCCATCCGGCTGCTGCCAGAATTCCAACGCAGTTCCTGCCATTGAACGAGGTGGTAACGGCACCATTGCAGAGGTGAGGACTTACCGGAGCGTCGTTGTTATCAGCAACAGTTGGAAATTGAAACAGGGAGATATTATCGAATGTCAATGTAACATGAAATTACCTAAGGCTTTTGGGTAATGTCTAATGCCACTGTACCAGAGAAATCACGAATGTCTACAGTCTATGAATCAGAAGAGAAATTACATACGTTTCTTGCTGCTGACTGCTGAGTTCAGACTTCCGACGTGACTGTGTCGTCGATCGGTGGGACTGTGACTGGTGGACAAAGTAGGTAGCGATGGTCAACAGAGAAGCGATGTTGTTGGCCTGCTGCTGAGTTCAGACTTCGGATAAGGCTGTGCCCGTCGGAGGGTGGGGCTGTGATTGGCGGGAAACGTAGCGATGGCAACAGAAAAGGGAATGGCGATTTACGTGTGGCACAATGGCTGTGTCGTCAGTGGGGCGGGTTTCGCAGTTCGCTTAACGGATTACGGGAGTCGGGAGAGAAGATTTTGGGTAACTGGTGTGTTAGGGATTATTTTTAAAGCAACGTTTGCCTTTCTAAAAAAAGGCCAAAAAAAAATGTTTAACTAATGAAAAAAAATCTTTTAAATAATTTTTTTTGTGTAAAAGAAAAATTCTTTTTTTAAAAGTCACGAATTTTGAGACTTTTTAACTTGAAAAGTTGCTTTTTATCTAAAAGCAAATATAAACACATTTTAAAATTATCTTTGGAAAAAAATCACTAATAAAAAGTCATTTTACTAAAAAGATTTTTAACCTTAAAAATCAATCTCAAACACCCTTTTGGTATTTGGAAGCAGGAACAGTGAAATTGCAGATTTTGTAGTAGGTTTATGGTTGGAGCCCTAAGCCCATTTTACTATGGGAAAATGGGACAGCGGTCCGACTACGTATTACGACTTTGCTTATTAAGTCCTTAAAGTTATTTCCGTGTTTTTAAGAGAAGTTAGTGGTTTTTGTCAGGTCGATTTAGTCATTTTGGACAAAATAAAAGGGTAACCCGGTTATATATTTGCCATATAGATCTTGACTAATCACTCTTGGTTCATATAACCTCTCTCTCACACACACACACACTCTCACACACACACACACATTGGTGTCCTAGAACTCTATGTAAACTACAACTTACTCCATCTTTTTTCTTACAAACTATCAAAATGGTGCAATCATACTCGAATGAAATCGTTTCCATGAGAAACAAAGTCATTTTCATCAACAAATGTTTGTGATCTTCGATCTTCAACCTCCATTTCAAATATGTTTTTATATTTTAGTTCATACGTGTGTTGTTAAGCCTAGATTTCAAGAACAAACCCAAATTTGATCTTCACCGTCTTCATCAAAAATCAAGTTATCCCTATCACCCTCCTTCTTCGGACCCCTACATATCTGATTTCCAACAACACCAAATCGCGATCTCTCATCTTCTCCACCCTCTTTCATCTCTTTCTCCCTTTGAAACAATGAGGTTCCAACGAAAACCATATCAAGAACATAGACTAATCTGAGTAGACCCAAAGGAAGGGAAAAGTTGCAACAAGATCTTGCTCGATATTTGCTGCAAACTAGATGTTGTGTCAATCATGAATTTTGCTATATTGACATCGAAACTCAAGTGTGATTGTTGAAGAACTGATGGATTTTGATACAAAATATAAGTTTGTTTTTCACAAAAACCGGCAACCGAAGTCTTTAAAAACAACAAATTTATTTTTAGTTCATAACAAAATCAAACCATCAAGGATCCATTTATAGACGTTAGAATGAAATAAAACAACCAAAGAGTTTTTTGAATGATAACATTTGAAGCCTTTGAGCCCACTTGGTTTTGGGGTGTTGATGAAGATGGAAAGATCAAAGAATATGATCTTCTCTAAAGTATCCACCATCAAGAGTAAGGTACTTGGAATGCTAGTTTCTTCTTGTATTCTTGAGTGTATTAAGCCTTTAAGTGATTAACTCAAATAAGCACTAAAGGAGACAACTCAAGGAAGCTTTAAACCACCAAACTAACTTCAAGAGAGAGAGAGAGGGAGAGAGAGAGAGAGAGAGAGGGGGAGGGGAAGGATAAGAGTAACTTGGTCCATATGCTTCAAGAGGAGAAATAAGACCAAAAAACTACCAACTTTTTCAAGCCTCTTACTCTTTTTTATATATTACCATGCGAAGTAAAGCCTACACATTATTTAAATATAAAGTATGGGTTATATAATAAAATACTCTAAAGTATTTCTAGGCTTTAGAGGCATGGGGAGACAAAGCATGGAGGTTGGAAAAACAACCTTCATATTTGTTTAAAAGTTTTGGTCATGCCTCTTGAAAAGAGGAAGATTCTTTAATTTTTATAAACTCTAAGTTTATAAAATATAAAGTTTATCTTTAGGTAAAAGACAAAAGAATCCAACTAATCAAAAATGTTGTGCATGAATTATTAATTCATACCATGCATATGAAATAATGACTAGTTATACTCTTTTATAATAATTATTTTTGTAAAACAAAAATTATTCCCTAATTAAAATACAAAAATTGATATTATTTATTAATAATCAGATTAATAATAAATACACAAAATGTGCCAACTTGATAAAGGTGTGACCCTATAGGGTTCACCCGAAGGTTTATGAACGACACCTTCTTGACATGGAGTGTCAACTAACAAGCTTGAGGGTTCACCCGAGGGGTACCCGTCGTCGGTAGCAGATGCTCTACCCATCCTCTCATTTGGTTTAAGGAATAGCCTTCGTATCTATGCTCTATGTAGCACTTTCCTGTAAAATATTCCTATCTTCCAAGTACTGTAACTAAAACTACTATGATGTCAAAATTTTCCCTTTGTTGGTATGATGTAAGACCTACTCCAAGGTCGAATTTTATGAACTCTATGTAACTCCATACCAACTATAATGACAGAAGTAGTTTCCGCAATATGATCATCTCTTTTAAATTCTATTCTCACACTGTATTTCTCTTGATATCCCTAAATGAAGTCTTATTGCCATTTTATCTTTTATAGATAAAAGATGTCGCCTCGCAAGTGTCCAAACAAAGGCATGCCTGTAAATCAAACTCCACCACCACCACCACTTCCACAGTTTGATGTGGTGATGTTCCAGGCTGTTGTGACCACGACTGTAACCGCAACCATGACTCAAGTAAATTCTGGTGGCGCCAGTGGAGCTGGAACTGATACCAACTCTAACCATGGTGAAAGCCAAACGAGTACACGGGAGTGCACCTATATAGACTTCATCAACTGCAAACCGATGTTCTTTAACAGAATTGGAGGAATCATTGCAATGTCTCAGTGGTTCGAAAGAACATAGTCGATCTTTGATATTTGCTCCTGTCCCGAAGGAAGAAAAGTAAAATTTGCTACCTGCACCTTCTCTAAAAGGGCCCTGACATGGTGGAATGGCCATGTCAAGTCAATCACACTGATAGTGGCTAACGATATGCTGGGAGACACTAAAAGATCTAGAGTACTGCCCGAGGGGTGAGGTTCAAAAACTCGAAGAGGAACTGTGGAGCCTTAAGATGAAGGGTTCTGGCATAGTGGCCTATACAGCCAGATTCAGCGATCTGGTGACCCTATGTCCAAACATGGTCCCCACCGAAAACAAAAAGATCGAGAGATACATCTGGGGTTTGGTACCCCCGTATCAAGGAAATGTTCTGGTGTTGAACCTTGCGACCTTTGATAGTACCAAACAATTGGCCAAGAGGCTTATCAATCACGGGGCTCCTCCTCCAACTGTTGTCTCAGCACCAACCAAAGCGTTCAACAACAAGAGAAAGCGTTGGGGCCGAAAGAAGGACAATACAACTCAAACTTCTTCCAAGAACCAACAGGTTGTGGCTGCCTGTGCTGCCACAACCCCTGTTGTCCCTGTACCATCAAAACAATATGCAGGGAGTCTACCTAAGTGCACCAAGTGCAATTTCCATCACAACGTCCCCTGCTGGGAAATGCACTGCACCAACTGCGACAGGAAAGGCCATACTATCCAGTTTTGCAAAGCACCACCAAGACCCATCACCCAGGTCTCTAGTACAGGAGTAAGTCAGGCCTGCTATAGGTGTGGCGAGACAGGGCACTTCAAAAGAAACTGCCATAAATCTGGGAATGCGGGTGGAGCAGGGAGACTACTTGCTATTGGTCACAATGAAGCCATGGCAGACCCCACGGTGGTCACGGGTATGTTCCTCCTCAATAATTCATATGCATGCATCCTATTTGATAATGGGGCAGATAGGAGCTTTGTGAACCTTTAAACACTTAATTAATCAGGCACCACAAGCACTAAAAGACACCTTCATCGTAGAAATGGCTAACGGAAAGACAGAGAGTTCTAACGACATTTACATAGGTTGTACCGTAATGCTACATAACTATTCATTTCCAATCGGCCTCGTACCTATGTTAATCAAGAGTTTCGACGTTATTGTGGGCATGAACTGGTTGAGTCTCCATCGTGCCGATATTTTGTGTTTCGAGAAAGCAGTCTGTCTAAATCTAACGAGTAGCGAAACCTTGTTGATCTACGGCGACAAACCCAGTACGAATCTTCATATCATCTCGAGCATGCAAGCCCAGAAGTACCTACGAACGGAATATCGTGCATTCCTTGCTCATATTGTCGATGTGAACCAAGAAATGAAAGACCCAAAGGACCTCCTAGTAGTATGTGACTTCCCTGACGTCTTTCCGGAAGAACTACCAGGGTTACCACCCCAACATCAAGTCGAATTCAGAGTCGACTTAGTTCCAGGAGCTACCCCCGTAGCCAAATCACCCTATCGTCTAGCACCAGCTGAGATGCAAGAACTATCCGGTCAACTTAGCGAACTACTCAACAAGGGTTTTATAAGACCAAGCTTCTCACCTTGGGGATCGCCGGTCTTGTTTGTGAAAAAGAAAGACAGATCGTTCAGAATGTGTATCGATTACAGAGAACTGAATAAGCTAACCATCAAGAGTTGTTACCCCCTTACCCATATAGATGATTTGTTCAACCAAATGCAAGGGGAGAGATACTTTTCAAAGATTGATTTGAGATCTGGGTATCACCAATTATGAGTGTTAGAGGAGGATATTCCGAAGATAGCCTTTCGAACTAGTTATGGGCACTACGAGTTCGTAGTGATGCCATTCGGATTAACTAATGTGCCCGCGGTATTCATGGATTTAATGAATAGGGTGTGTCATCCTTACATGGATCAGTTCATCATTGTGTTCATTGATGACATACTTATCTACTCTCGTAGTAAGGAAGAGCACAGTAAACATCTGCGGTTGATCCTAAAAACGCTACTGTCGGAGAAACTTTACGCGAAGTTTTCAAAGTGCGAATTTTGGATCCGGAGAGTCACATTCTTAGGTCACGTGGTTAGCAAAGAGGAAATCCACGTGGACCCTTCCAAAATCAATGCCATTAAGACCTAGTCAGCACCGAAGACGCCTACATAAATTCATCAATTTCTAGGCCTCGCTGGCTACTATCGCAGATTCATTAAGAACTTCA